TGGTAGAGGGTCAGCTCGAATGGAAGCCGCCATCACCTTGCCGTGTGCGAGCCAGATGAGAGCTCAGTATGGTCGGTATATGAGGGAGGAGCCGCCGCCGTTGACACCAGAGGTGCTGTGGCTTACGGCGGACGGAAAGAGCACGTCACCTATGCTCGGTATGGCCGGGAGCAGATCTGTGCGTTGTTCTATGGTGGCTGGAGATCCCAGATCAGAGTCTCTCACGGAAGCTCAAATACTAAGAAGTCGACTTCGAGAAGTGGTGGAGCGCAGGAGGGAGTTGGCGTGTAGAGTTAAGGGTAGGGCTGAGTCCTTCACTGTCGCTCGGAGGCTGGTAAATATCCCAGTGGTGGAAAAATGGAAAGCTTTGGTGCGGACGCGGCATCCGCCGATGAACGTATATCCTCATAATAGCGACCTCAAGCCGACTTTTGGAGTCACCACCAGCGATGATCCTGATGGAGACACGAGCTATCTGGTGTGCTCGATCTGTCTGGGACCGGACCTGGCCCGGGGTAATCAGATGGTCGTCTGCTCTGGGTGTGGGGTGGCTGGTCATCAGTACTGTTACGGAATCGATAGATTGCATGATGAGGACACCTGGCTCTGTCGCCTCTGTTATGCTCTGGAAAATGGCGACGCCCGCGAGTCTGATGTTTTGAATTGCTTTCTTTGTGGTGGTGATCGGCGATGCCTTGGTGGAGGCCTGATGACGTCGGTGATGGTCCAAGGGGGCATCCGATGGCTTCATGTGAGGTGCGGTATGTTTGCATGGAAGTGCCAAACTATTTCGGATCTTGAACGAGCCGCTGTGCGCTGGTCTTACTCCGGATCGGTTGCCTCTGTTTGTGGCATCTGCGGCAAGGCTGTGGGAGAAACTGTGAAATGCGGCTCGACGGGATGCTCTCAGCACTTCCACGTCAGCTGTGCCACACTCAACGCCCTCACGATTCCGGAGCCAGCGAACCACAACTGGCTTATCTACTGTCGCAAGCACATGGCAGATGTCGATGCCTTTGGTATGATCGAAAAGCTCACTAAAGCTATCGCCAACTCGCCCTATGCAGAACAGACGGAGGGTGGCTTCGCAGCTGCCGTCGCCAACAGTGCAGCAGCTCAAATGGTCGACGAGACTTATGACCTCTATCGAAGCGTCGATGCGGAAGATCTCTGGCTTGCCTGGATGGACCCTGGCGAAGCTGTGAATGATGCCAAGACTCCCGAAGCAGTCTCGGACCGGCCGTCCATTCTGACGGCAACACCTCCTATTATTGGCCGTGCTGCGAGCTGCCCGAGTGGAGGTACCAACTCGTTGACTCAGGCCTGCGTAATGTGCTTGCACAGTGATGGCGATTTGGTGGACATACCGGGAGGCCCTGGTGTCCCTACGGGTTGCTCGGCGAGAGTCCATCTCCGATGCGCCCATTGGATGGGCCTCGCGCCGGTCTTCAACTTCCATGATCTTCGCCAGGGATCCGTCATACGGCCCCGTAATTTCCTCCAGTCTTGTCACTATTGTCACAGCGTTCTCGGTATAACTATGAGATGCTCCAAATGCAACAGAAGTTTTCATCCCCATTGTGCTGCTAAGAATGGTTGTACTGTGCGACTAGAGGACTACGAGTCGGGCATTCAGCTATCTGGCAGATCTGCGGAGTTATGGCTTTCGAGAAGGACTGTGAAGGGAGGATTCGCCGTTTGGGTCGATTGCGATGCACATTAATAAAATATATAATACACTAATACGATTTTTCCACATGTTCATATAGTTGATGTAAACCTGTACTATTGCGTACCGTACATTCACATTACTTCCACTGAGCCACAATATGTAGGGTTCCCTAGTGACTACGTGCCAGGCTTGACGCTGGGAAATATCACTTGATAACTCGAAGCAATAGCAATGGAATAATCTACATTGAATTGTGAAAATGCAGGTAATCATCCCCCGGATGCTCTCGGGTCGTCAATCACATTGACGGCTCGCGGGAGGGACACCATCACATCCTCCTCACTGAAGAAGCCGTTGGGGTACCGCCAGGTGATGGGCTCACCAGGGGAGATGTCCCTCACGGCTCGAACTCGCAGACCGCCGTCGTGGGGTCTAAGCTGGGCATTCGGACTAGTCGAGTGGTTCACCAAGTACCAGAGGTCACCCCCGCCGATCGGGTCTGCCATGTCGAAGGTCTCCCTGTTGTAGTACAAGGACATACCGCCACGGCTCTCGTGGATGATCGTGAGGAAGCAGTGCTCTGGATGGCCTCGCTTGCGGAGCTTGTCGATGTCAGCATGGCTGTTGATGTTGTACTTGGTAACTTTCGAGAATATTATACACTCACCGTCCTCAAACGACCTCGAGGCAATGAGCACTCGACCACAGTCTTGGTGGTCCACAACACGAAAGCCCATGGCCTTGAGAACGCACGAATGCTTGGCATCGAGAGGGCTCGCTGGCACTCAATGATCGCAGTACGGGTTCTACGACTAG